TGCCTCAGGAAGTCTTCAAGTTCAGTCAGAGCATGGCCTCAATCAACATAGCGAATCAACATAGGAAAAATCAGCAGTAGCAGACCAAATACGCTTCGACGAAGTGGACATTCTGCACCAATCTGAAAGATACTACCCGAGACTCACCAGAGAAGCCATCGAAATATTTAAATCCCGAAACAACTTTAACAGAAAAGAAGAAATCATGGCACTCAATCCAGATTGGAAGCGCGTTTTGCGCCAAACAGCGTGTGCGCCGAAGCATTTGAACCCCCACGCATGAGCACACACGGCTGGGCGGCATAAATACGACAGGGGATCCAGTAGTTGAACCAGTCTAAGTCGGAAAGCACGGGAGATCACTTTTGTGTTGTTTTGTCCACAGTTGTGGACGAAACGTCAGGAAGAAATTCCCATAGACCACGGCTCCAAAGCCCGGGAAAGATTCCTAAATGTAAAAAGCCTTTTGTTTGCAGCATCCGGCCCTTGTCCCGAGCGCTGAGCTCGCCAGTGGTGCACCTGGGGGCCGCCGACGGAATGCCGGCGTTGACGAGACGGCGGGTTTCTTCGGCGCCCACCACTGGACTGGCGTACGACACGCAAATGCTGAAACACGCCTGCGCGTGTGGCAACAACATTATCCATCCGGAGCATGCAGGGCGGCTGCAGAGCATCTGGTCCCGTTTGCTGGAGACGGGGCTGATTGCGCGCTGCGACCGGCTGCGGCCCCGCAAGGCCACCACGCAGGAGCTGCAGACGTGCCACTCGGAGACGCATGCGCTGCTTTATGGTACCAGTTCGCAGAATCGGTTGGTACCCGGGGTCCGGCCGAAGTTTGCGGCTTAACCAGCGTTGTCGGTTTCAGGCACAAGGTGGACATGAGCAAGCTGAGCGCGCTGCCGGTGAGCGCCTTCGTGCGGCTCAATTGTGGAGGCATCGGCGTGGACACGGACACCACCTGGAACGAGCACTACACAGCGCCGGCGGCTCGCATGGCGGTGGGCGGCACTGTCGACCTGGCCGTGCGCACCTGGACGGGCGACATCCGGAACGGGTTCGCCATCGTGCGCCCGCCCGGCCACCACGCCGAGCCGCAGCAGGCCATGGGCTTCTGCTTCTTCAACTCGGTGGCGATCGCGGCGCGCGTGCTTCAGAAGGAGCACCGCGTCCAGAAGATTCTGGTCTTCGACTGGGACGTGCACCACGGGAACGGCACTCAGGAGATTTTCTACGACGACCCGCGCGTGCTGGTGATCTCGATGCACCGGCACGACGACGGCAATTTTTTTCCGGGCACGGGGGGGCCCAACGAGTGCGGCAGCGGCGCCGGCCTGGGCTACAACGTGAACGTGGCCTGGTCGGGCGGCCTGAACCCGCCCCTAGGCGACGCCGAGTACCTGGCGGCGTTCCGCAGCGTCGTGTTTCCCATCGCCAAAGAGTTCGATCCGGATGTCATCCTGGTGTCGGCCGGCTTCGACGCCACCGACGGCCACATGCCGCCCCTGGGCGGCTACCGCGTCTCGCCCGCCTGCTTCGGGTTTATGACGCGGCAGCTGATGCAGCTGGCGCATGGGCGCGTCGTGCTGGCGCTCGAGGGCGGCTACGATCTGACCGCGATCTGCGACTCGGCCGAGGAGTGTGTGCGCGTGTTGCTGGGCGACACGCCGTCGCCCATCTCGCCGATCGAGCTGGCGCGGGCGCCCTGCGGGAACGCCGCCCTGGCCCTGCAGAAGGTGTTCGCCGCCCAGGCCGCCCATTGGTCCTGCCTGCGGGAGGCGTCCAAGACGGCCATGTGCTCGTTTGCGGACGCCGCCCGCAGCGAGAAAGAAGACAAGGAGACGATCACGGCCATGGCCAGTCTGTCCATGCAGCATCAGCAGCACAGTCCGATGGTGACGTCGCCCATCGCCAGTTCGCCGCCCGCGTTTTTTGCCGTCAGTCCGCAGGCCGCTGGCCGCCCTCCGGCCTGAAGCGGCCGCCCCTTTCCCGTTAACCTGAACATTCCCGCAGTCGCTCAGCACAGTGACCGCCAGTCTTACTTTAAGGAACAAAATCTATCGCGTGTTTATTTTTGTTAAAATATTGAAAGTTTTTAATAAACATTTATTTACTTTATTCGTGRKTTTTTTTTGAGAAATTWRCTCCAAAACCGCGAGGTTAGTCGAAGRCCTCAGAGAGKCAAAAATGSTCCCAAYAAAAGRGGTTTGCAAAKGTGCACTTACCTCCGAAACTTCATTTAGGGACTCCAAGGGCTCCAGAGTCGASATAGAGCTTGGWTGAGTGAGGAATWTGGAACRAGGATTAGTTTTTTCCATACAGYRTTAGTTTTTTCTGGAGTTGGCTCGATTTTTTCCTCGTAACTGTGCAAACCGCAGTTTCATTTTATCTAACGAATTAAGTKTTTTGTTCAATTTAGAAGKTTTTTTGSGCTTTGTGTTTTTTGCAATCTGCTCCCGTTTCCAAGAGAGATTTGATAAACTGAAAACACTCGGACTAATAATTTGTTTCCAAAACTTTTAAATCGCAAATTTGTGTAGATTAGTTATTACTTTGCCGCATTTTGTCCAGAAGTTTTCGAATAATCGCGTTTCAAAGTTGTAGAAAGAATTAAACTTGCCTGCGTTCATATATTGGTTTTTCAGATTAGTGTTTAAACAAAAATTGTCCATGGGTCTAATTATGGTACAAATGATTAGAAAATTCGGTTACACCGTTAAAATCGTTGAATAACAGGAAGAAAATCTAGTTAAACATTTGATTTCGGATTTATTGATTATTTTACTTCGAGGAAAATCACTTCATTTACGGAAGATAAATTTCTACAATAAAACCCATGGGATCTACTTACGCACTATCTTATAAGTTGTTCAAAATGTTGTCTATTTTCCTGCAAAAAATAATAGAGTGTATGTTCGAACCCTCCCTAACATTGATAGGATATTCCCGGATAGATCGATCGGCAGAAGGGGACCAATTGAATGGCCTCCAAGATCACCGGATTGAACACCCTTAGACTTCTTCTTTGGGGACATCTTTAAGTCCATTGATCATAAAACACAGCCTGCTGATATTCATGGTCTTAAAAGGCGAATTGCAGCAGAATGCGGGTCAATTCCCGGTAAAGCTTTCCGTAAAGGAAGACGTTTTTAGGTGAGCCCCAAAGTTTAAATGCTGCTTATCTTCAAAACTACTGGAAATATTGCATCAATCGTGAGGAGCTTTTCAAAAGAGCATTTTTTGAGCGACATTTTGATGCAAAAAAACTTGGCAGCGTAGTAGGGCTTCGCCCCTTTTCAGTGGCCCGAATCTTAAAACCGCTAGATCTCAGTTACAGTTAAAAAATGGAACTTCACCTACGCGCCTAGCGAACCGTCTTTTAGTATGCAGGTATGTGCGCAAATTCTTAACCTCTAAAGAGATAGGAGCGAAAATTCCAATTTTGGCCTATATCTCGACAACGGCAGCAAATATTGCATCGATCTTTAGGACCTTTTCGCCAGAGAACTTTACGAGGAATATTTTTGCATACAAAATTTGGGATTGCAGAGGGCTTCGCCCCCTTTGCGGGCGTTTAAAAGTTCCAAAACGCTTAAGCACCCAACTTAACTACCTTTTTGGTGGCCAGTCTCAAGGGCCAACTTTCATCTCTTAGGCTGTTTTAGAACCAAAAAAATTGAGGAGTCGATGTTTACAACACTCTATATCTAGCAAGCGGTTGAAAGTTCCGAGTTTGCCTAAAACCAGGGCGTTTCGAAACCGATAAAAATGCATCTTCAGAGTTGCAGCAAACTTCCGAAGCTCGAAAACATTGACTTTGACAAATTTCTGGCTGTTTCGCATTTGGGCCCATTGGAAAATGGCATCAGTTTGAGCCCAAATTAATCGATGGCAGCTGCCCAGTGGAAAAGTGCGTTTACCTCGCATTCAATTGCCGTAAACTAACGGTTACCCTGATCAAGACAATCACTTGGCACCTTCATTGCCCAATATGTGTCCAAATAATTCGCACTTATCAATAGAGCGTCGCTTCGTTTGCCCATCGATTATCAGCTCTCAGTCCAGTTGTGTTAAGGCAGGCGATACCAGCACGAATTGCCCGACTAGAAGAGAATACAGGGCGCGATAGGAACCGGAAAATCCATAACTTTCCCCGCAAACATCGCCGGTAGAAGGAGCCGGAGTTTTCCGGCCGGCAAGCGCAGGCCCCATTTCCCATTATGGATTTTCCGGGCCGAGATGCGGCCCTCCGATGGACGCCAGTCGTGATAATGCCCGCACCAGTCGCCCCTTTTCTCCGGTAAGTTTGCCCGTTGAAGGGAGGAATTCGAGCAAAAAATGCCACTTGCTCTAGTTGCTAAGCCAAGCCGTTGCGCCCGCCGGCTGAAAGCGAATGCAAAAGTGTTTTTACGAATATTTGTTATCAATAAACATAAATACCTGCCCGAGTGATAACGGTATTTGCCTAACACTTTACCCAATTTGGAGTCGATTCTCCCATTTCAACCGCGTAAAATGCCAGTTTTATGTCGCGTTTTCCCTGATAATGGTTTTCATCATTCAGTTTGCACTTGACCTGACGGTAAGTGGCGCTTTTCAGCTGAAATTCGTTGACGAGGGCCAATTATTACTTTAGGCCACTCTGTGCAATTACGTGATTTCGCAACTTGGGCAGCGGAAGAGCAAATTACTTTGTATATGAATCTAATAACGCAACAATCGTAATTAATCCCAATTTATCGCATTTTCCACCTATCGAATTACCCAGCACCAGAAGCAAAAGCCTGCTGGATGTTATCAACTCGTGCGCGCTCTCACTTGTTCCACTCCATTTAATTGGCTGATAAGATCAGACGCAGCCACCTATCACCTGGACTCAACGTGTCACTCATTTTCGATCCTCATTGAAGGTAATGAAGCATCTTTAAGATGCCGCCCCGGTTGACGCCACGCAAGTTCTTCCTCGCCTTCCTGATCATCATCAGTGTGACGTTGCTGGTGGGCAGCCGGTTGAACTTCTCGTATTTCTCCAGAAGTCCGCAGAGCGCCGCCCTGGAACATGAGCAGGAGACGCAAACTCCCAAAGTGCAGGAGCGTAGGGAAGAGGTTGGTATGCGTTGCGCCCTCCCGCCACTCGGCCCTCTGTGACGTCGTTTGTAGATAAAGGAGGTGCTGGAACGGGAGCGGGAGGATGAGGGGGAGGAGAAAGGGGAACCACCTGAGAAGCCCTTCTTTCTGAGAGGAGGCACACGGTACCCCTCCAAGAGCAAAGGACCAGTCCGTCTCTTTCCTGAGCAAGCTGATGGCGACCGAGTGGTGGATCAGCTCATGTATGTTCCTGAGGACTACGAAGGTGAGCACTTTTTCTATTTTGAAAGAGAAGTCCGTTCCAGCTGTATGGAATTGCAACTTCTCTTTTAAAAATTCGTAACTTCCGATTCAGAGCATGTGGCCAGCTGAAACTCGCCCACCCTATAGAAGACACTTAACTCTAGAAATTCTGAAAGTTTCATTTATGTCACTCAAACCTGATTTGTGGGCGCTCTCTAAACGCACTGGGAGAAATAGCTTTTTTCCAAAAGAGCGGTCTTTTCCAAAAGTTCCTAACTTCCAACTCACACCAGCTGGCAACAGGATCTACAGAATTGTTTGCTCAACCTACAGAAGACACTGAGCTTTAGAAGTCCTAAAAGTTCACTGAAATCGCATCAAAATGTGATTTTTGTACGCTCTCTAAACACCGTGGTAAAAGTCGACATTTTCACTCAAGTGCGCTGCTTCTTTAAAAGTTGAAAAAAAAAATGAAACTAGCCCACCCTATAGAAGACACTTAACTCTGAAAGCCGACAAAGTTTCAGTCGAATCACTATAAAACCTGATTTTTGAGCGTTCTTTAAACGCATTTGAGAGAAGAGAACATTTTAATCAAATGTGCGGTCTTCTTTAAAAATTCATAACTTCTCATCCAGAGCAGGTGCCAATATGAAACTCGTCCACTCTATAGAAGACACCGAGCTTTGGAATCTACAAAAATTTCATTCGAATCGCAATACAATCTATCTTGTTCAGGGTCTCCAAACACAAGGGCAGAAATTGAAGTTTTTCCTCAAATGCGCGGTCTGCTTTAAAAATCCCTAACTTCTAACCCAGAACAGCAGGCGCTGTGAAACTGGCCACCCCTTAAGTAGATAGTTAACTATAGAAATCGTGAGAGTTTAAATTAAATTGCACAAAAACCTCAGTTTTGCGTTACCAATCAAATGCGTGAGTTGCTTCAAAAATTCGTAATTTCAAAATCAGAGCAGAGGGCAACGTGAAACTCGTTCACCCTATAGAAGACAGTAAACTCTAGAAATTATGAAAGATTCATTTAAATCGCTCTTAAAGCTGCTTTTTGCGTGCTCTCTAAACGCAAAGGTACAATTTAAAGCTTTCACTCAAATGCACGGTCTCCTTTAAAAATTGCATTCACAAATTGCAACCCAGATCATGTGGCACCATAAAACTCACTCACCCTATAGAAGGCACTTAGCACTAGAAATTCTGAGAGTTTCTATTAAATTTCACGAAAACATAATTTTTGCGGCTCTCTAAACGCAGTGAAATAAATTGAAATTTTCGCTGAAATGCGCGGTTTGTTCCAAAAATGTATACTACCAAAGAAGATCGTGTGGCGAAATGAAAGTCGCTATCTAAACGCAAGGGTAGAAATGGAGGTTTTCACTCAAATTCACGCGGTCTTCTTTAAAAATTCATAGCTTCCAACCCAGATCACGTAACAAGATGAAACTAGCCCACCCTATAGAAGACCCTTAACTCTGAAAGCCGACAAAGTTTCAGTCGAATCACTATAAAACCTGATTTTTGTGCCCTCTTTAAACGCACTTGAGAGAAGAGAACATTTTAATCAAATGTGCGGCCTTCTTTAAAAATTCATAACTTCCCATCCTGAGCAGGTGCCAATATGAAACTCGTCCACTCTATAGAAGACACAGAGCGTAGGAATCTACGAAAGTTTCATTCGAATCGCAATAAAATCTATCTTGTTCAGGGTCTCTAAACACAAGGGCCGAAATTGAAGTTCTTTCCCAAATGCGCGGTTTGCTTTAAAAATTCATAACTTGCAACCCAGAACAGCAGGCGCAGGCAAGCCTTAAGTAGATACTTAACTATAGAAATCCTGAGAGTTTAAATTAAATTGCACAAAAACCTCAGATTTGCGCTCTCTCTGAACATAGTGGGCGAAATTGAAGTTACCAATCAAATGCGCCAGTTGCTTTAAAAATTCGTAATTTCAAAATCAAAGCAGACTGTAACGTGAAACTCGTTCACCCTATAGGAGACAGTTAACTCTAGAAATTCTGAAAGATTCATTTAAATCGCTTGTAAAGCTGATTTTTGCGTGCTCTCTAAACGCAAAGGTACAATTTAAAACTTTCACTCAAATGCACGGTCTCCTTTAAAAATTCACAACTTGCAACCCAGATCATGTGCCGCCATAAAACTCACTCACCCTATAGAAGGCACTTAGCACTAGAAATTCTGGGAGTTAATATTAAATTGCCCGAAAAGATAATTTTTGCGGCTATCTAAACGCAGTGATAGAAATTGAAATTTTCGCTGAAATGCGCGGTTTGTTTCAAAAGTTGATAACTCCCAAACAAGATCAAGTGGCGACATGAAAATCGCCCAACCTACAGAAGATACATATTTCTAGAAATTCTGAGAGTTTTATTTAAAACGCACCCAAATGGGATTGTGCGCTCTCTAAACGCACTGGGAGAAATTGAAATTTTTACACAAAGGGGCTGTCTTCTTAAAAAATTCGTAACGTCCAACTCAGATCAGACGGCCACGTGAAACTTGCTCACCCTATAGAACACACTGAACTCTGAAAACCACAAAATTTTCAATCTAATCGTAATGAAAGCTGATTTTTGCGCGCTCTCTAAGCACAAGGGTACAAATTGAAGTTCTCCTTCCAAGTCTTTTTAAAAAATCATGGTTTCCAAACCAGAACAGTTGGCAACAGGAAACTCGCGCATCTTATACAAGACAAGTAACTCTCTAGAAATTCTGAGAGTTTCTTTCAAATCGCACTGAAATGTATTTTTTATGCGCTGTGTAAACGCAGTGGTAAAAGTTGAAATGTTCACCTAAATGAGCATTTGCACGAACTTGAACTTCCAAACCAGATCAAGTGGCAACATGAAATTTTCTCACTCTATAGAAGACATTTAGCTCTAACAATCCTGAGAATTTAATTTGAATCGCGCAAAACATAATTTTGCGCGCTCCTTAAACACAGTGATAGAAATTGAATTTTTCCTCTAATGCGCAGTTAGACTAAGTTTTCGTTCAAATGTACGATCTTTTTAAAAATTCGAAAGTTTCGATCCAGGAGAGCGAGCAGCCTGAAACTTGCTAACTACATAGAAGACATTTGGCTTTAAACATCCTGAGAGTTTCTTCTAAATCACCCTAAACTCTCTTTGATTATTCTATCTATCTATAATAATCCTGCTGCACGCTCTACGTTAAAACTGACGCTGAACACTTGACTCTGCAAACCCTGAAACTTTCATTCAAATCACAATAAAACTTGAAACTTCTAGACGCTATAGAACACACTTCACTGTGAAAACCATGAAAGTTTAATTCAAAGGCCTTTAAAATCTCATTTTTGCGCGCATGGTGAGCAGAGGTGAAGAAATTACATTTTTTGCTCAGCTGCACAATCCTCTTTAAAAATTCGTAACTTCCCATCCAGAGCAGGCAGCAAAGTGAAACTTGCAGACAATATAGAAGACAATTAACTTTGCAAGCCCTCAAACTTTCTCTCAAATCACAATAAAACCTGATTTTTGCGCGCTTTGTAAACCTAGGTGAAAAATTACGAGTTTTTACCCAACTGCATAATCGTCTTTAAAAATTCGAATCTTTCCATCCAAAACAGGCAACAACTTGAAACGTCTAGACGCTATAGAACACACTTCACTGTGAAAGCCATGAAAGTTTCATTCAAATGCCTTTAAAATCTCATTTTTCGCGCATGGAAGGCAGAGGTGAAGAAATGAAAGTTTTTGCTCAGCTGCACAATCCTCTTTAAAAATTCGTAACTTCTCATACAGAGCATCTGGCAACTTCAAACTACACACCCTGTAGCAGACACTTGACTCTAACACTCCAGAAAGTTTTATGGAAATCGCGCTGAAACCTGCCAAAAAATGAGGCAAGAATCGTGCAACTTTTGCCACTTGCGACAGCCTCATTATAAACGCTCAAACCTTAAAGCCGGTAGGAACCATTCACCTAATTCTGTAGCATACTGCAGAGTAATAACAGAATGTACATTGGGGGCAGGTTTCGACACCCCGGAAAAAACCATCCTCCTCTACAGCGGCTTTGGGTCCTGGGGCCAATCGGGCGGCAGCGGCATCTTCCACTCCTGCCCAGTCAATCGCTGCTCTCTAACGGGCGATAGGGGCCGGGCAGTAGACGCAGACGCCATCCTCTACAGAGACCACGTCTCCTACCCGGGGGTGGACCGGCCGGTCAATCAGGTGTGGATCCTCTACCATCTAGAGTGCCCCTACCATACGCAGAGCATCAAGGTGCCTGACAGCATCAACTGGACGGCCACCTATCGTAGGGACAGCGACATTGTGGCCCCCTACGAGCGCTGGACCTACTTCGATCCGCAGGTACAGTCTGTCCCAAGCCTTTTGGGTTTGACATCTCAAATAGTGACGTCACTGCCAAATAGCTTGAGACAACCTTTAGCTGCTTAGAGGCGATGTAAGGGAGTAATCCCCGTTCATCTTCAGGTGAGGCAAAAGGCCCAAAACAAGGACTATGCGGCGAACAAGACGAAGAAGGTGGCGTGGTTCGTGTCGAACTGTGGGGCGCGCAATAATCGACTCCAATACGCCCGGGAGTTGGGCAAGTACATAGACGTGGACATCTATGGAGGCTGTGGATCCTTCAAGTGTCCCCGATCCGAAGACAGAAAGTGCTTCAACATCCTGGAGACGGACTACAAGTTCTACCTGGCCTTTGAAAACTCCAACTGTCGCGACTACATTACGGAAAAACTCTTCGTGAACGGTCTGGGCCATGACGTGCTCCCAATTGTGATGGGGGCGCGGCCTGAGGACTACCAGAAAAGCGCCCCAGAAGGTATTGAAACGCCGGGTAGCCACGCCCCGTCCACGCCCACTAACCAATCACTGTTGTAGGCTCCTACATCCATGTGGATCAGTTCGCCAGCCCCGAGGAGCTGGCCGCCTACTTGAAGCGCCTAGACCAGGACGACGCCCTCTACAACTCCTACTTCACGTGGAAAGGCACTGGGGAGTTTATCAACACGTACTTTTGGTGCCGCCTCTGTGCTATGCTGCACGCGCCCCTGGTTCCCCGCCACTACGAGGACGTAAACGATTGGTGGAGAGGGCCAGGGGTTTGCACCACGAAATCTTGGAGAAATGCCGAATTTGTATGAACTGGCCCGATACAAGGGGCGCGATGGGCTCAAAATTTCCTTAAGCGAACATTTTCTTTCGTTAATGGGTCAGGCCTATAACGTTGAGTTCCTACTCCATTTGTACATGACGAGCAGACCCCGTATGGTGCGCAACCAGCCCTCTGTGATATTTGTTTTTATTATTGTCGACTCGTCGTTGATTGGCTTGTTTCCGCGTTACGCCA